AAGAGTGTTTTTGGTATAACAGGTTCACTGGAAACCTCTCAGAAGTATAGTAATACAAGTGTGCGTGGATATGAGCCAACCGCTGTATGGGTGAACATTATGTTTTAGGGAGGGGCTGTGAAGGAGCACAAGAACACTGAGGGAGAGACAGGGAAGTCAGATGGACACTGCAGCACCATGAAGCTTCAAATGTTCCTCTCTCTTCATCGGCATTATCATTTCTCTCCCTTCCTTAACACAATTTTGGATCTCCTGTCAATCAAATGAAGAAGTATGATAGTGAACAGAGCAGTTGTTCTGACTAACACCAGCTACCATTTTCAAGTGGACTTCTGAACCAACCTTCAGTATGTTGCGTCATCCTACTCCTTCCACACATCAGTGCCTCCTACTCTCCGTCCTGTTGTTGGTGTTGGGTTGGAACATGGCAGAATGTTATCTTGGAGAGGGTAGAAAGATCTGGCAGCAGCCTAGGCTAAACCCCATCACCAATGACCAGTCCTTTCTTCAAGACACCTTCCCTCCAGAATTCCTCTGGGGTTCAGGGACGGCTGCCTTCCAGACAGAGGGAGCCTCAGAAAAGGAGGGTAAGGGAGCCTCCATCTGGGACCATTTCACCCACTCCTCTCTCAGTGGTAATTTGGCAACAGGGACTGCCGATGTAGCTAGTGACAGCTACACTCACTGGGAAGAAGATGTTGAGGCACTGGAGTATCTAAGTGTAAGATCATACTCTTTCTCTCTCTCCTGGCCAAGGCTCTTTCCTGATGGGAATGCCAGGAGTCAGCCCAATACAGCTGCTGTGCAGCATTATACCCAACTCATAGAAAAGCTTCTGGAAAAGAAAATTGAGCCCATTGTCACTCTCCATCACTGGGACCTGCCACAGGTTTTGCAGGAGCAATATGGAGGCTGGAAAAATGACACATTGGTGGGACTGTTTGAGGAGTATGCAGCCTTTTGTTTCCACGTGTTTGGGAGTCGTGTTAGGTACTGGATCACAATGCATAACCCATACTTGGTGGCTGTACAGGGGTATGGGACAGGTGTGCATGCTCCTGGAGAAAAAGGGGGTCTCTCTGGCTCTCTCATTGTGGCCCACAACCTGATCAGAGTAAGTTGGCTGGGTTGGGAATTTGTAGATTAATATAGTTATACTTACATTGTGCTGCATGTGCCTGGGCTGTTGATGTACTATAAACTTTAAACTTTGACGTCATTCAGGTTTATTAGTTTATGATTGTCAGTGAACATTTACATTGGCTAAATTATATTGTGGTCATAAGACAGTGTCACAAGGACATACTGCACCAGTGCTCTGATATTTTGTTACATGAAGGTGATCAGTTTTGCTGAAACTGCTTTAGAGAGCTGTGTGATCAATTTGAAGGCTGTAGTTTGTGCTGCTGTTGAACTGTACTGCATTATACAGAAAGGTGGTTCTGTTATTTAGACTAGCTTCACTGATATAAATGGACAAAATTATAAAAACACCTGTCAGTATAACACCATACAGTTCAACAGCACCACAAAACACATCCTCCAAAATGATCATACAGTTGATTCAATACCTCAGTGAAACAATGTGAAACAACTAAAACTGAAGATTATCACCTTCATGAAGGGAAGATTTAGGACTGCTGTATTAGATCACATTGGTTTTAGCTTGTACCTAATGAATTGCCAACTGAGTGTAAAACTGTTGGAGATAAGTGCAAGGCAAACTCAGCTGATCATATTTTATTTTGAAAGGTTTGCGATCAGTTATCAGGACACTTAAAAAAGACACTGAGGGCAAAGTCCGCCACATCAGCATTTTTGTGCTGGAGGAGAAACATGTGTATCAGGAAGTCATGGAGATATGCCTCATTAATAAACAGTAGGTTGTTAAGAGCCTGGCACAGGTGATTATGTGTACAAGCAAATGGACCGAGCAGATAACATGAGCAAATAATAATTCTCTGGTGCCTAATAGATTGTTTTCATAATTACACTATTGCTTCCACTCGATCTCATTTGTTTGTTCCATATGTATGTCTTACTACTATATCTCACAAACATGAAAATGTATTTGAATTAAAATGTATTTGAATTCCAGATTCAGATAGGTACAAGATAGGTATAAACATTTTCCATCAAACAATATTTGAAGACTGTGCATGTTTAACACAGAAATATGTTCTCTGTGAATGCTTCAATGCTCTGACAGGCCTTTTTCACAGCAAACATTTTGACTCATCATAGTATCTAGAGAAAATCTATAGTAGAAAAAGCTGAGGCATTACCAGTAGCATTACTGATGGCTTTGTTCTGTTCAAGTGTCCCAATAGACCATGACGGTGTGGCAGTAAGCCAGCATGCACAGTACCAGAATCATGAAACTGAAGCTGTTAAATGTGCTTTTCCTACTATGATATATCAAAATGTCCTCCATGAAAAAGGACTATTATGCTGTGGTATTATGTTATAGACTACACTGCAGTGCATTATAAATATGTGTGTGCTGTCATTTCCAGGCACACGCCAAAGCGTGGCATACATACAACACCCACTTCCGACCGGCTCAGAGGGGTAAAGTATCCATTGTTCTGGGATCCCACTGGGTTGAGCCTCAAAAGGGCCAAGCCACAGCTGTTAATGTTGAGCTTTGCCAGCAGTCAATAGAGGCCGTGCTTGGCTGGTTTGCTAGTCCCATCTTTGGGGATGGGGACTATCCGGTCTCTTTAAAACTGAAACATGGGGCCCTCCTGCCCATGTTCACTGCTGATGAGAAACTCTGGGTTCAGAAAACAGCCGACTTTTTTGCTCTGTCCTTTGGGCCTAATAACCTCCGTCTGCACAACCTGGTCCAGTATGAGCAGACTGTAACCCCAGACCTGAGACGTGTCCTGAGCTGGATAAAGCTGGAGTATGGAAATGTGAGGGTGCTAGTGGCTGAGGGAGGCTGGTTCTCTGATGCTGGTGTGGGAAGGGAGGATACAGTGGCCATCTATCTGATGAAGAGTTTCATCAACCAGGTCCTGCAAGGTGAGCAGAGAAGTGGAAATGTAATGAAATTATTTTAAAACAATTTTAAAAAAAAGCATTCTATCATTGCTGTGGTTTTTTGTTACAGCTATCAAGTTTGATGGTGTGCAGGTGTTTGGCTATACTGCCTGGTCACTGGTGGATGGATTTGAGTGGAATTATGGCTACACTGTTAGACGAGGCCTTTTCTACGTTGACTTCAGCAACCCAAACCGAACCAGAACCCCCAAGACCTCTGCCCAGTACTACAGACATGTTGTGTGTGATAATGGTTTCCCCAGGGATGAATCCTCCAGAGAAGTCAAAGGTCATTTCCCCTGTGACTTTCACTGGGGTATTGCTGACTCCATTTTACAGGTAAGAAGAGAGAGAAGTGGACCTGACAAGAGTCAGTAAAGCAAATAACTTATTATTTATACAGTTGCTTTCTACAACAGTAATAATGGTAAATATACACACAGACACACATAAAATTTCTCATCTTTTATGTTATTGTAGGTCCACTTCTACCCGTTCTCACCACAATTTACAGACCCCCATTTGTACAGCTGGAACCTGACAGGAGATGGATCATTGCATCCAGTCCCAGGAGTGAAGCTCCACACCAGACAAGCCCAGTGCACTGACTATTTGGCTATCCGTGGTCATATCCGCCTATTTGCATCCAGTGGGGCTTCTCACTACCGCTTCGCCCTAAACTGGTCTCTGATTTTACCCCAGGGAGATCGCTCTAATGTGAACACTGAAGCTCTGAGGTAGAAATGCACAAAAACACAAGCATGACCTGCTCAGCTATAATTTGATTTGTTAAAATTAAAAATGATAACATAAAGGGATTCACACCATAGATTACAGAAAGGTTTTGATAAAATTTAAGATGATACCTTCTGTTTTTACAAATCTGATTCAGTCTCTCTTTCTGTCTACACACATTAACTCTTAACTCTATACTCTGCTATTCTCATTGCTCCTGAAAGGTACTACCGTTGTGTCCTGACCGAACTCAAAAAGCTAGACTTGGAGGCTGTTGTTATTCTCTACTACCCGACGCACAGAGCTCCAAATCAGGGCTTGCCTGGGCCACTGCATGCCTCTGGGGGTTGGCTCAACTACAGCACAGTGCAGGCCTTTCAGGAATATGCAGCACTCTGCTACCAAGAATTGGGGCCCTGGGTTCAATACTGGATCACCATTAATGAGCCGAACAGACTGGTAGATGTTTATTCCAATGGCAAAGAGAAGCATCAAGCAGCTCATAACCTTCTTCTATCTCATGCAAAAGCCTGGAGGCTGTATGAGAGGGAGCACTCCAGTCAGCGGAGAGCATTGGTATCACTCGCACTACATGCTGACTGGGCTGAACCTGCCAACCCCTTCATGGACTCACATATGGCAGCAGCACAGAGATTGCTTTTGTTTGAACTTGGTCGCTTCTTAGACCCACTGCTGGGGACTGGGTATGACAGGGTCTATCCACAAGAAAAGAAGTCACACTTAGAGGCAAAAGCTCGCGTAATTGGTCTCACTGGATCTCCACTTCCTAGTTTTACTGAGATTGAGAAGGAAGAACTGAGAGGAGCTCTGAGTTTCATTGCACTGAACCATTTTACCACCCGGATCATGGCTGCCTGACCCTTTCTGATCCCACTTGGCCCTCCTCCAGTCTAGGGCAAGCTCTCGTACCCTGGGGCCTGCGGAAGATCCTGAACTGGGTGAGCCAGAGATATGGAGGGGATCTGCCTATTATTGTCACAGCCAGTGGGATTGATGATCAGGCTCCTTTTGAGGACATTCTCAGGCAACATTATCTCAGAAGTTACCTGCAGGAGGCTCTCAAAGGTGGGAGATGCATTTCAGATCCGTCATCTCCATTAGTCTGACAATATCTGATTTTCCTCTTCAATCCAGGATGTGTTGTGTAATAAAATAACCAAATGCTCTGCAGTGTTCAGGAGCTGTCGCTCTGCAGGCAATATAGGTTTTATGGCCATATTGCTTCATGCTATAAAAGTCAAATCTAATGAGAAACCATGAAGATCATAAAAATGAGAGGAGGGGAGAGAAACACAGAAACAAAGCATTAAATGTTGAGTGCCCTTTATGGCCTTTAGCTCACCTGTATTTGCACACATGTTGCTTTCATGGAACATGCATTCTTGACATTTAGTTGTTTTGTAATGATAAAATATCAATATCTGGGTGATTTATATTCCTTGAGGAGAAGGAGAAATTGGAGAGTTGATGAATAATTCTTCTTGCACTTTTTTTCTGTTTGTCTCCAGCTCACCAATTAGATGGCGTCAACCTGCAGGGCTTTTACGTGTGGAAGCTACAAGATCGACATGTTCCCCAGTTTGGCCTTTTCACCTCAACCCAGCACCAATCCAAAGCCAAAGCGTCCATCACTGTCTACAGAGAATTTATCACTCACAGCGGATTCCCTAACAACAACACCAGACAGACTTGCAGGTTCGGTGACCTACGTGAACCTTGCTCTGTATGTGCATGGATCTTCAATAACAAAGCAATGCTGGTCTTTGGAGGCTGCCTCCTGATAACAGCTGTTATGTTGGCAGCACTTGTCATTTTTGTTATCATTACCAAGAGAAACCAAACAAGGGGTAGAGGGAGCAGGAGGAACAGAAGGAGTCAAAGGGGAGGAGTATCAGTGTGTTCATGTCCACCTGTTGTTAAGTGCTAACTGCAGAAGATGACTCACTAACATATATAAGACAAACTGTGTGTAGCTCACTGACAGAGAAGATCCATTACCTATGTTTGTGACTCGTCCATTAATGTGGTAGGTCTACCTGTGCTTGTGACAAATGTGTAATGAGTTTACCAATAAAACAAAGTTTCTCCATTCATTTTAGTGTAATAATGGGTTGTTTAGATGGAAGACAATTGATTAGAGGAACTTAAAAGTTATTTTGTTGGTATGTTTCTGTTGCTGAACTACCATGAAAGGGGAAGAGATTTACTGAATGCCAAATCCTCTGTCTGACTTTGCAAAAGTTGATACTTGATCATGTGAGCTCTGTGGTTTACTAAGAAGGGGAAAAATACTTGACCTAATGTCTGACCTTACCTATGATAATCATTATGGAGAAAATAAGTTAAATCCATGATTTAAACATGGTAATAAAGTCAGTCAGTGCTGATTATATTGTGTAGATCAGACTAAAATGACTTTAAGGTGATGTTATATTTTATATGATATATGATAATTTAGATCAGATTTAATTGTGGATTGCATGAATTTAGTAAGAATGAGCTATTATAATATATTTTAAAGTGGCAACCACTTAATTCAGACTGGATACAAGTTTATTGTGTGCCACAGACTGTGTAAAGCTCTATGGTACAAAGGCGCACCCTAGTGTCACTTTTTTGCTGTTTTAATGGATCACTGTCTGTCTTTTGTTAAAAAATGGATAAGGATACCAAACTACCATATATGCTCATGTGTCCAGTAATGGAGTAAACATGACTACAAAAGTTGAGACGTTTTATTTCAGAAAATGACACAATTGTTGCTTGGGACTCAGAATTGTGTAGTTAGACTACAGCTGAGCTTGTGCAATAACACATCTGCATCTCAACCACTTTGAATAAGTAGCTCGTATAACTTAATTGTTGTTCTAAATTGGCATATGCTTTTCTGCGGATTTTCTGGCCCGTTTAAATTAAATTATTTTCTTTTAACTTAACTTTGCTTTGTATGAAGTGTAGAGTAGGTTATGAGAGACAAACATATTAGTATAACTGCGGTCATCTACGCATAATGATACGGTTTTTAATAATAATAATAGTAATAATAATAATAATAACTCATGAACAAGTCAACCAATGGCAGGAGGCGTTTAGGATGGAAATACACATCACGTGACTCGCTGTCCTCCAGACTACATGCAGTTTGGTATTAAAATGTTTTCAGCACCACGAATCCTTGTGTTGTTATAATTCTGAGATGTTATATACATGTCGAACAATTTTACGAATTATAAGAACACGCTGAAAACCAGGATTGACGGCACTCAGGGTGAACAACGTTACAGCTGTTATTTTTGAGGATATATCCAAAACGTGTATTGCTTCTGTAGGCAGAACAAACTAGCTAACGTTAACGTTAGTCAGGTCGGAAGGCGGCGAGGCCCCAACCGGACGGGAACACGGGGGAACCATGGCCAACATCGCGGTTCAGAGGATAAAACGGGAATTCAAGGAAGTGCTCAAAAGTGAAGAGGTTTGTTGTCATGTGTGCTACTGAAAGTTGCGGCTCTAATCTCTTTCTTTCTACGAGGCTGAATGAGAGTGACGCGTCGCTGGCTCAGCTGTCAGCTTGCTAATCACCGAGCTGCTAGCTGTTAGCTAGCTAACTGCATCAGACAGGCAGTGCACCCGACTTCACTAATAGCTGCTAGCGCTGGATATTAAAACGTGTCTTGAAATTGCTTGAAATCAGCTGATCAGATGTTACAAGGATAACTTGAATTAATAAGACTCAAGTTCACTT